CAAATTCAATTTACCCCCAAAATCTGGGGGTTCACGTGACCAGCTCCGACCAGGGTCTTTGCTTCCCAAGAGCAAATAGCCTGGGAACGAGGTTGAGCAAAAGGCTGATTTTTAATTAAGGAAAAAATGTAAGTTTGCGTAAATAGTTAAAGAGCTTCAACTGAAGCAACTTGTCTCAAATTTCGAGCAGCAATTAAACACCTAACGCATTTTTCACCCGTTAACTTAACATACGACTGAAGCTTTTAAATCTCGTGCACCAGCCATTTTCAGTTTAAGTTCTTTGTATGTTTGCATGGCGATAAAACATATGATAGTTTTGTTTGTGGAAACACTACGTAAATTTATTACTGCAAACTGCAAAGCTTTCGATCCGTAAGCCCGGATCTTCATCAATTTACGTGATAAATATATAAGTAAATTTACGTGGTGTTTCCACAAACAAAACTATTATACATTTTTTGTTTGTTGGAAAATTTACGTTCAAGAAATTTATATATCAAAAACTGGATACCAATACCTGTTTTGCTAAATTGAGAGCAATTTCAACTCTGTTCATTTTTTACTGATACACCCTGTACAAACAGGCATGGATACGGATACCGGATACCGGATACCGGATACGGATACCGGATACCGGATACGGATACTGGATACGGATACCGGATACGGATACCGGATACGGATACCGGATACGGATACCGGATACGGATACCGGATACGGATACCGGATACGGATACCGGATACGGATACCGGATAGTTTTAAATATTTATTTTTAAGAATTAAAATTGTTGGTTATTGTATTTTTAGCGGGATACCGGATACGGATACCGGATAGTCTTAAATATTTATTTTTAAGAATTAAAATTGTTGGTTATTGTATTTTTAGCGGTTTTCTTTTTCATTTCTAAGATTTTTTATTTGAATATAAGCGAATTAAGTCGTTAAGTCGTAAGACTGTTTTTCTTTGCATTTATTTCAGAATTATTTGTCAATAATCACTATATAATATCGCTCACATTGTGTTTGTGCTTAGTATTAGTTATTACAAAAATGTCAATTTCATTTTTGTTTACCTTTCTTCAACCATACCTAATGCTACATGTCATTTATTGAGCACAAAGGTTATGTTTGTTTTTCATAATACCACTCCAGGCCGTTATATTAAATTCCATGAGTGTTCTTCAATATATAATATTGTTTATGCAAAATATATCCAGCTTAATATAACGTTTGACTCCGTTCACAGTTACTCGTACGAATCCCCGTGTGAACAAGGTGGAACCGGACGAATTTGAGTACGGTCTGAAATTCGTCCGCTCTCGTGTGAACGTAGCATAGCAAATTGTCTTGACGATTTTGCTTTTGTTTCACAAAATCGTGAGAAAAATCAGTCATGGATAGTTATGGTTAATTTAATATTACGTATTATGATTAATTAAATGGGCTTCCGGCTATGGTCTGACAAGGGTATTTAATTTTTAAAGCAAAAATTCATAAATAACATGTAAAACGCAAAGAGGTCTGGCACAGGCCTGCATGGACGCCTGGCTATATAATTATAAATGCAGTTAATTAATTTGTGAGCGAGTGGTAGTTCAATACAGAAAGTTTCAGACCCATTTTGCATGACATAACAGTCATTAAAATACTAACGTCACTATAAACAGGGGGTCTATTATAGGGGGTACGCATTTCCGAAAACCTCGCTGTATTTCAAATTTTAACCGCAAACCGCCCACTCATTTCTCTTTTAAACGTAACCGCATTCAAACCGAGGCATATGTGGCAACATATTTCGAAACATATTCCGCAAACATAATGTGAGGCAATAGGCCAATAGTCAGTACGTATAGTCGCCATTTCTATTGGAGTATTGAAGAGGAAATCGTTCACAAGTTTCACGCCGAATAAAATTTGGCAATTGGCAAAAGCAAACGAAGTCTTAGCAGTTCAAATAGCTATAAAAAGGTTTTCCTTCCATCGCTGCTTATGTTTTGTGCGAGAAACAATCAAGTTGCTTTGATTTCGTCTTTTCAGGCAAATATTTATTACTTTGGAACTGATTTCAGTTCGTAATGAGTAGCAATCGGCAAGTCAGAGACTCAGAATATTAAAAAGCATGTTTTACGGAATAATTGTTCCTTCAATAATTTCACAACCCCCGGTAATTTTTTCCCCTCGAATTTTTACTGAAATTAAGCGGAATTTTTGGTGTTCTGGTGTTCCGTATTCCGGAATGATGCTGTTCCGGTGTTCCTGCTTTTACTAATAGGCCGGCCACTTTACTCATTTGATTTCGTCATTTCGAGGCCCTGTTGAACAACACATACGCGCGATCGGAAGATGAATGCCATGAACTGAATTATTGCCATGAGCTCGTAAAATATTTCTTATTCGCATGTTAAAAGCTATCCGAATACCGCTATTTATTTTAGTCAATAACCGAATCCGGAGGGTTAATTTCGACATTTTCCGTCTCCGCACGATTTCCAGTTAACCGCAAACCGTACAAAATAACTGGATATAACCGAAATCCGACCTCAAAATATGGCTAAATCCGCATAACCGCGAAACTATAATAGGTCCCCTAAACAGGCGACGAACAGTCGGGAAATTTTTTTCTACAGCCAATCACTTGTCAGAAAACAGCCGTAAACAACTTAATTAGAACAAAATCTTTGTATTGCTTGTAAACTTGAGTGAAGTATTGAAAATTTAACTCCGTTTACAAGCCAGTAAAATGGAAAAATCGCTGCAAATTGCAGTGTTGTCGCACCAAACTTTCAGTCAAAATCGCGGGGTGTGTACATTGGAGATTTCAAAAAATCGTTGTAGAAATCGCAGTGAAAATTGCAAGTGTATAAAACAGGCCTTTAAGGGGCTGTTTACATGAGCCCGGCTAGCTGGGATGAGACGTTTGCCGGGCTGAAATGCATGCTGACGAAAATTGGCGGGAAAAAATTGTTTACGTGTTAACAGTGTAACGTCTGTCACGGAAGTCGAATTTGTGCTTTATTGGCAAATTTAATCGATTAAAACTACTTTGTCAGCAAGATTAATTGAAGAAATAAAACTTTGTCAAGAAAAATATCAGTTTCTGTCTTTTATTTTTGTTTTAAATGAAGTTTTTGTTCTAGCCCGGTTGCCCGGGCTGGATACTTTACATGGAGAAATTTCATCCCGGCTGACCGGGCGCCCCGTTTGAGTCAAGTGGGATCCCAGCTAAACGGGCTGGCCCGGATTGTCATGTAAAGTAAAATTGCTTTGTGTTGGAAATTACCATGAAGCCGGGCGCCCCGTTTAAGCGAGCCAGCCCTGCAAACCGGGCTCATTTAAGAATATATCAAGTGGAATCTGTTGAATTAATCGCTGTTTTTATAATGAGCGTACAAATACAAATACAAACGACAAATACTATCGGATTTCATATTTAAGTCTAATACTGCTATATTTCACTATATTTTAGATAGTATTTTAATACGTTTCGCAGTTTTATATAGCTAGGCTACGCTTCAAATTTTGTATTTGGCCTATATTTCGTATATGCGATAACACATCTTTGATTTGCAGTCACTACAAACAGTATTTTAAAACGTTCATGGCGTGTGCTTCTTAAAGGCAGCATTTACTACATTTTAGGAAACCTAGTATTACACCCATTTTCAAAATTACACGACCTCTCTGAAAAATACTCTTACTTCAAATGTCAGTTTCATGTCACAAAAACTGCTAAAAATAGCAAACGTAAACAAACTGTCAAAAGACATTTTAAACCGTATTTAATACCAAAACTGAACAAAAATGAGTTAGATAACTTAGATATACAAACTAAAGCACAATACAAACTATCACAACAGAAATATGTGCCGTGAATAACTTTTAAAGTTTGCAAAATAGCAATTTATCCTGGAATTTAGCTGTTAGTATAAAACACGCGCGCTAGACTATAACGGTGATGTTATGATTTTGTTTGTTCTTAAATTTTGCAATAATGCTCACTAAAATATCTTGAAAATCATTGTAAGCCTGTTTATATAAACATACATATACATCGACAAGGAACCGCAAAACTCAAAGTTTAAACTTCGTGACCGAATGACATAAAACTGACATCACTGACATGTCAACTCCAGCATTTTCGTCCTTGGTCGCGTAATTTTGAAAGCGGGTGTAAATTAACTATAACTATCCATGACTGATTTTTCTCACGATTTTGTGAATCAAAAGCAAAATCGTCAAGACAAATTGCTATGGTACGTTCACACGAAACCGGACGAATTTCAGACCGTACTCAAATTCGTCCGGTTCCACCTTGTTCATACGGGGATTCGTACGAGTAACTGTGAACGGGGTCAAACGTTATATTAAGCTGGATATATTTTGCATAAACAATATTATATATTGAAGAACACTCATGGAATTTAATATAACGGCCTGGAGTGGTATTATGAAAAACAAACATAACCTTTGTGCTCAATAAATGACATGTAGCATTAGGTATGGTTGAAGAAAGGTAAACAAAAATGAAATTGACATTTTTGTAATAACTAATACTAAGCACAAACACAATGTGAGCGATATTATATAGTGATTCAGGGCCGTAGCAACCGGGGGGGCTGGGGGGCCTGCAGCCCCCCCAATAATTTGCTAACAATCATTCTTTTTTCAAAATCATGCAAACTTTATCATTTAATCTGTGACAAACTGCAAAGAATGAAGATATTACTCATACTCCAGATCGTTCCTCGCGTAGAAATTTTAGCTGAATTTCTGTCGCGCATTTTCAAGAAAATCCCACAAAATCTGCACATTTTTGATGAACTAATGATTTATTTTGTCTTTTGCGTGTTGGGTCTTGCGAAAGAAAACTCTGAAAATGCCATTTCAGACCATCTAGAGACTCCAGATTTTCGAAATTTTCTCAAATGTTCTGCCTTCATTTCCGCGCAACTGCCATTTACGACGAAAATTCCCGCCGCGCATTTATAATACTACAGTCTGGCCCATACTTTCCTGTAAATTTCGACATACTAAAACGCAACCTCGTTCCCAGGCTCTTTGCTCTTGGCAAGCAAAGACCCTGGTCGGAGCTGGTCACGTGAACCCCCAGATTTTGGGGGTAAATTGAATTTGACCTCAGGGAGGGGTAGTAGAGGAGTCTGTTGCATTTGGAAAATTGCAACTTTATGTGTTATTAATATTCCGGCTGATAAAAATGTAATTTGCAACAAGAGATTGTGAGAGGAATTCGTACCGATCATGACTTCCTGCTATACTGAATGTCATCAATAATAAGTGTTGCGTTACATTTCAAGCGAGAAGCTGGATCATATTTCACTTGCAAGGAAAACACTTCACACGCGCCTGGCTCACGAAGTTTAGCACTTATCGCCGTAGAAACATACATATCTTCTACACAGACTGATCGATCAAACGGTATTAAACGAACGATATGGTTCTTCATAGTTGAAGTGTATCCTGTCCGATATTCAAAACAAAAGATTTATTTTATAACGGGATCCTTTGACTTCCCAAACATCGCCAACATGTGTAAACAATAGTTCTATTTTGACTGTAAAAGCACAGGATTAAAACCCGTTATGGACTGGCTATAAAATTCATTTCATTTTACATTGCTGAAAGCCTGAAACTCAACGATCAAGAAAGATAATGTCGAAGTGTAGCTAGCTATCTGTTATCACACAAACGCCAAGACTCCTCCGTGCGTTTCCGTGCGTGCGGTACAACTTGAATATCTAGGACGATATATGCACCAGACACTGGTATTGTACTTTATATAAATTATTTCATATTTTGTGTATATAGTAATTTGCAAATGTATAATATTAGACCTTTCATTGACATTGGCATTGCCCATTGAGGGCTTTATTGAAGAATAATCCAGCTTCTTTAGACTTGTATAATGGATTAATGCCGCTGTGAGTTATCAATATTTAAATCAACTTTAATCTTTATCGTATTCTGTAACCGACATTTTAGAAGTTTAGTCTGTTTTACCAAACAATACTGGAGGAAAACAACCTATCTATCAATAGAAACTTTAAAAGGTTTTTTTACAGTAAAACTTATTAATATAAGCGAGACTTCGTGTGCATATACAGGTTATGAATTATGTATATCCCTGATAAAGCGTATATCCAGATGTAATAAAAAATACTTTGCTAAACCTTTTCTGCTGTCCTTCCTTTGCATTTAAGGGGAGAGGGTAAATGGCGATAGAATTTATAGGAGATACTGTGCAATATTTTGGCTTCAACAAACAGGTACTCGTGCAGACAAAAAACTGAGAAAATTCATGCAGTTGTGAATTGTCGTATGTCAGCTGTGCACGGTCGATTTCAAACAATTTTGTACGTTATATTTTGTCTTCCTGGTGTTTGATATAAATGATGATAACCTTTTAAAAAAAATCTAGAGCAATAGGTCTATAAACAGTTTTAGAATCAATAGAATGGACATTTAATGTGTATTTGGCTTGTGTCCAAATGTGTCACGTTTAAGACCGGCAAGGCGCTAATCCTACGACCTATAAACAGTCGCTTTTGAGACATCTGTTTAACAAAATTTATACCGTGTCCATATCAGAACAATTCATTGGCATATTATAAGCATATTATAAATATCAGAGCCAGAACAGAAACATACGCGTGAAATCAAACTACGCCCGAACCGGCGAAACCCAAGAAAATAAAAATATTTCAAAGCGTACAGTCATACGTTCTCTTTGCTTGATTTCCTGAATTTTCTGTTGCTATAAGAATCTGCATTTTAGCATGTTTGTATAATTTAAAAGCAAACAGAAACCAATTGAGCAAGTAGTTTGAGGTACATATGATTCTCAAAGATGAATTAATAGATGATTTTACAGAACGGCCACTCCTTGCAATTGAAGTGCGAGGTGCGGAAGTGGAAACATGTAATATGAGACTTTTCCATCCCCCCTCTTGGGCTATCAATTTTCTATGGGTTACGTGACCAGCTCCGACCAGGGTCTTTGCTTCCTAAGAGCAAAGAGCCTGGGAACGAGGTTGACTAAAACGCTGTTTTCTGACTATCAGAATTCTGTTAAATCTTCCCCCAAAGTCCAGGAAATGGCATTTTAGAGACTCTAAATTTAAAAATTTCCTCGGGCCTTCGGCCCTCGCTTTCAGCCCCCCCAATCGAAAAGAGCTTCCTACGGCCCTGTGATTATTGACAAATAATTCTGAAATAAATGCAAAGAAAAACAGTCTTACGACTTAACGACTTAATTCGCTTATATTCAAATAAAAAATCTTAGAAATGAAGAAAGAAAACCGCCAAAAATACAATAACCAACAATTTTAATTCTTAAAAATAAATATTTAAGACTATCCGGTATCCGTATCCGGTATCCGTATCCGGTATCCGTATCCGGTATCCGTATCCGGTATCCGTATCCGGTATCCGTATCCGGTATCCGTATCCGGTATCCGTATCCGGTATCCGTATCCGGTATCCGTTTCCGGTATCCGTTTCCGGTATCCGTTTCCGGTATCCGTTTCCGGTATCCGTTTCCGGTATCCGTTTCCGGTATCCGTTTCCGGTATCCGTTTCCGGTATGCGTTTCCGGTATTATTATTAATGGTTTATTATAAAAATCGTCGCCCTCGATGAAAGCGAATTGCCGTTTCCGGTATTATTATTAATGGTTTATTATAAAAATCGTCGCGCTCGATGAAAGCGAATTGCGAAATTATGCGAAATTATTTACGGATACCGCATACGGATACCGCATACGGTATCCGTATGCGGTATCCGTATGCGGTATCCGGTATCCGGTATCCGTATCCGGTATCCGGTACCCGCGTTTTCTACCATGCCAAATTATTGTTGACATTTGAGTTACGATCCGGTATCCGGTACCCGCGTTTTCTACCATGCCAAATTATTGTTGACATTTGAGTTACGTAATTACTTCCGTTAACTAGATTAACCAATAGGAAGCTTTTCCGAAGATTCTTCGGAGAAGAACAAATTAATCATAGGCATTTGGGCAGGCGTTTATTTAACGACGCCCTTTCTTCTCCCGCCCGCACTAAACGCCTGCTACGCAGGCTAACAGCGATGTAGAGGTATTGATATTATATGAATATTTGTATTATTCTCATTCAACCGTAAAACTTGATAACTTTAACACATTTCTTTACGTTTAATATTTGAACGTTTGTTATACGTTGCATTAGATCGGAACAATGAAATCTGGACGTTTTGAATGTGAAATTGTAATGGTATATATCGTGTCGACTGTACATATATGAGTTCCGATCTGCTTGTCGACAGTCGACACGATATATACCATTAAAATTTCACACTCAAAACGTCCAGATTTCATTGTTCCGATCTAATGCAACGTAACCAAACGTTCAAATATTAAACGCAAAGAAATGTGTTAAAGTTATCAAGTTTTACGGTTGAATGAGAATAATATAAATATTCATATAATATCAATACCTCT